AAAAATGCGAACTTCATTGCCAAAGTTTATTTCAGGTGCCACATGCGCTGGCTGGAATACCCAGAGTTGGTGCATCAGAACTGAGTTTTTTAGGCACACCCTTGGTCGAGGGCGATTATCAAATAAAGTTTTTTGACCAAAAGCTCTCTGAGCTTAAATTCGCCCTGGGTCGTGTTTCCTGTCTTTTGGCCCATAATACCTAGACTGTTATCCGCAATGCCCTCAGTTTTCCCAAATTGTGTACTTCCTGCGTACATCCAAACACATTGACCCTTCTAAATTGGGCGAATTTGACGGAGCCCTGCGCACCGCCCTGTCGTCGATTTGCAATGTTCAAGTGACCGACAGTGGTTGGTCCCAGGCTCAGCTGCCGGTGCGATTTGGTGGGCTGGGGATGCTTAGCGTGGTTCAGCTGGCTCCTGTTGTTTATAATTCTTCTGCCGCTGCCACTCTCGACCTGCAGTCTTCCCTGCTCCACCGGTTTTTTCGTTGCCGCGATATTCTTCCCCCAGTGTCAGCCCCGGGGGACCGTACGCACGTCCAAATTTTGAACGAAGAATATAAAAAGATCTTTCAAAATTTGTTGTCTTCATGCGGCGATGACTTTTCCACCGCTCGTTTGTTGGCCATGTCCAGCGTTGCCAGCTGTGGGTGGTTGAGATCGTGGCCCAACACCTCTGTGGGCACCAGGCTTGACGACGAGTCTGTGAAATTTGCCATTGGCTTCAGACTTGGCCTGGTCATTCAAAATAAATACACGTGCCGATGTGGCGCTGGGGCGGACGAGTTTGGGCACCACGGTTTGGTTTGTTGCCTGAGTGGGGGCCGTCAACTACGTCACTCAGCGCTAAACGAATACATTTGTCGGCTCTTCTCCAAGGCTTCAATCCCGGTTCTCAAGGAACCATCCGGCATTTCTGCACATGATGGTTGGCGCCCGGACGGATGCACACTAATACCTTGGAGAGCCGGCAGATGTTTGGCGTGGGATGTTACGGTCCTTGGCACCCTTGCCGAACGATATGTAAACCTGACAAGTAAAGAATGCGGTTTGGCCGCGGCCAGGGCAGCGGACGAGAAAATGAAAAAAATATGGGAACGCCCTCCCCTTGATGGAATTCTTGCCAATATGTATCAAGGTTCTCGGCCCGATGGACCCCAATACCCTTAAATTTCTTAAGGCAATATGTAAAATGATCAGCGTCAGATCAGGCGACAGCAAGGAACTGTTTTTCGCAACTAACCACATTTCGTGCAGTGGTTCCTGCGTGTCTGTGTGCTTGAAAATATCCAACTGAATGCCGACATGTGCAATTAACGACAAATCAAAGTGTTAATCCATTTGTTACTTGATGTTTGACGGCTCAGTGTCACTCATCATGTTTTGGTTTTAACATACATATATACATACATACATACATACATACATACATACATACATACATACATACATACATACATACATACATACATACATACATACATACATACATACATACATACATACATACATACATACATACATACATACATACATACATACATACATACATACATACATACATACATACATACATACATACATACATTGTCGGCTCTTCTCCAAGGCTTCAATCCCGGTTCTCAAGGAACCATCCGGCATTTCTGCGCATGATGGTTGGCGCCCGGACGGATGCACACTAATACCTTGGAGAGCCGGCAGATGTTTGGCGTGGGATCAAAGTGTTAATCCATTTGTTACTTGATGTTTGACGGTTCAGTGTCACTCATCATGTTTTGGTTTTAACATACATACATACATACATTTTGTTGATTTGTTTTTACCGTTTTTAACGTTTTTCATAAATTTGTGTTTAAGTTCTGGCTCATTTCCATCAGTGTTTA